AAGATTTATCTCGGTCAGTATTTCGATGACCTCTCGGATCTTGTGTTTTATCGTATTTTCACCAAATACAGCCAACCTTTCGGTCGATTTCCATCAGCCGATTTTTCTTCCTATTTCACCTATATATTTCTGCTCACAGTTACCGCATTTGATGCGGTAAACTCCCGAGCATTGGCCCATTGACTTGGATCATTACCAAACGTTTCGCCGGCATCGTAGTCGGCTTCGTCAGTGAAAGATGCCATCGTAAGCACCGCGTTACAACTTATCGCTCACCAATGAAAGCAGTCCCATTGACACATTTTCTGTCAAATAGTCCTACGAGCTGACAAAGAAGGTACTACATTGGTGATGTTCAGGAAGGAATATACGGAGAAAGTGAAATATATTTTAGAAACACTACAGCTTATTGACTTCTAACAGTCAAAATCAGAGGAGCGCTGCAAGAAATACTGAAGGAAATGAAAATGAACGGGGAAATCGGCAAATCACTCATACGAAGAGATTCAAGTGCCTCAGCATCATTCGGTTTTCCTAAGGTACAAAGAAGGAGACCATTGAGATTGATAGTTAACAACAAAGATGGATCAACACATAAATTGCCGGAGTTTATTTGCCTCAAAGTGAAGAAAGTGAACGACCGATTAACGAATACAGTGAAGAACTGTTACGAATTTTACAAAATAATCAAAGACACCACTTAGGAACAAAACCAACATTTAATAAGCAGTCCATATACACTAACATCACAGGATAAAAAACACTCAGAGTATACTGGATATCGTGGAAAAAGATGACATCCGTAAGACGGAGCGAATCTGTGGAGTCTCTAATCCGACTAATCAACCTAACAATAAGAACTAAATATTTTCCGTTGAACGACCCTATGGGTCCACCATTCTCACATCTGCTGGCTAATGCCTTCATGGACAAGTTGAAGAAGAATTTAAAAATGTCACCTCAGCAGCCAACAATAATTATGCGATATTTGGATCGCATGTAAAAGAAAAATTATACGAATTCCTGATCATCATAAACGAAATGGATGAAAAAGTCAATTTTACCATGGATGCGGAAGAGAACAGAAATTAACCGTTCTTTGATATGGGTGACATTCGCTCATAGGAAACTGTCAAGAAAAAACTTTTCTGAAAGATCGCATGCTGGAATAACTTAACTTCCAGTAAAACCATAGTTATGAGATGAAGATTGGAATACTGCGGAGTATGGTCATAAGAAGCTTACGACTCACTGATTCTGAATTCTGGGAAAAGGAAATTGGGTAACTATTCAGGTGTTTCCTGAAAATGGATATCCAGATTAAGCAATACAATGCAACATACGAATGGTGCTGAATAGATGGAAGGTCGGAGATTATGAAAGCAAAGCAAGAGGGAAAGAGTAAAAACTACTCCCCTGTGAATCGGCTAGGAATTGAGTGCTCCGGAGTTTACAGCATAAGCTGCAGGAACTATGAGCAAAAATACATGAGACACGGAAAGAACAATCAGCTCAAGGATCAAAGAACACAAGTGACTATGCAGCAAATTGGATACGGAAAAATCGGAGATAGCTGAAAACATCACCCTTCCTGGGCACACAATTGACTGGAATGCAATGGAAATTCCGGCCTCATATGGGGAAAACACCAGGAAAAAGAACATCAGAGGCCGTGGACATTACCTTGAAAAGGAAGCTGATGGGCAGAAGATATAAAGAAAGAAGAGTCAGCGATGAGTCCGCGTACTGCATGGACAAACTTGGAAATCAAGCGAAGACATCAAAAAGAAGACGCATGGACCCAGGACAACTGTTTAATAACAGGAAGAGACATCACCAATGAGCGGCTTACAAGGGACAAAAAGCAGCCAAGTAAAGCAGTCGAACCTCGAATTTGCCAAAATTTACTCGGAGGGATATATCTGTGAGGCGTAGAATATGAAATTAAAGGCTATATGCATAGATGGGCCAGATAGGTCATCAATGTGTGTGTGGGTGCTTGTGGGAATCTTTCGTGTCTTTGCCTGAAGGAGAGGTGACTGGTGACATTCTTGGCCAACAAATATATGAACATCGTATTACCCTAGGATTAAAAGGGTTTCAATTTGAATGAGGAGAGGAGTGGACACGGGCATCATCTGCTTTAAATCCTCGAATATAGCGCAATCGAAGATGAAAATTTAAGGCTCTTAGGTATCCAGATTTCAGGCAGCCAGTGATTTTGATGTTTAGCAGCTACTAATTGACAAGCGGAGTAGGAGAAAAAGGGGGGGCCGAATGTAGTTCAGGAGTCTTGCAAACAGCACCGGTACCGGTGGTGGAGATGATTATGCTTCATCAAACCCATTTGTAGCAATAGACTCTTATGGAATATTGGAGGAAACGAGCAAAAAATTGTTAATAAGCGGATGGGCCATATGATATGGGATTGAAAGAGAAGATATAACAAAAAATATGAGAGTGATGCCACAACGGTTGAACAGTAAAATTGATCAACGGAATTGCCTTCACTTGTCACCTTGATAACTGTTAACTCTGTGCTTACGATGGCGCCTATCAATGACGAAGCCGAT